ACCCTAACTAACCCGATCATGTACACCCCTAATGGTTGCAAACATAACTTGTGGCATAATATTTTAGTTTTGCTTGAAAAAGTGAATTAAGATCTGGTAGAAGAAGTTTGCATGAACTCGAGGCGCTAATCACTTTTTCTAATAAAATCACTTAGGGATATAAGTTGAATTTACATGACATAATTAGTTAATAGTATCTAAATAACTTATATAGTTGTGAGAACATCATATAGAGATAGCTCGTTCTTCTCTTGGAAAAATTGAGTGATAATTTAACGGCTAAATACATATCTAAAAACTTGATTATCTGTAATTGCATGAAAACTAAAGAACGGTGCATTTCATTAGGGAAACACAACCTTAGTGCTATAATAATGTATTTTATATATCAAAGTTAATGATGCAATATTTAATCTTTAGTTAAAACAAAAATCTTTTCTACTCGTACAAAATAGAGTAATCAAATGTCAATCTAGTATTCGTCTAATTAGTAGTATTTCTCCCTATTTTCTATGGGATTCATCCCTGAAACTTGTGTTCAGGGACGTCTTAACCACTAGGCCACTACAGCCATCGCTTGGGGCCCCTGATTGTTTTAAATACTTATATATATTATTAAAAAAATTTATATGTACTTTTTTTTTTAAAAAAAAGAAATATGAAAGAAGTATATAAAAAAAAAATGATTGCTAGTTTTCCCACTTTTTAAAGGCAATGAAACATTTTTTGGGAATAATTTCCTTAAGTGGGAAATTATGTTTCCTTAAAATTTGACTCTATATTATTATTTACCTTATACTCATCTTTTATGTTCTCTATTTTATTATTTTTATTCTTAATATTGAACTTTTTCCTACAATTTATTTTACTTACCGTTGCTTACAAGTTACAAAAGAACAAAATTTGATTTTGGGTGACTTCTTCAAAATCTCAAAAAGTGCAACAAGCAATCATTATAGTGAAGGAACGCAACACTATTTCGATATTGTTTTATCAACTTATCAAATTTGTGAGCCATGTTTTATTATTCTAACTTTATTTTTACGATTATACAATAAAGAGAGAAAAAGAGAACTTGAAGAATTAAATAAATCCTAAAAAGGAGCCCTTGATATATTTTTAACAAATAATAAAGATTTTGAATAAAAAAATATTGCTTAAAGAATAATGTTAGCAATTTCGGTAACCGTTGTCTCAATCAAAAGAAGTTTTTTAAAGCAAAATTGATAAAATCTTATCTAAGATCGACAATGTCTCAAAAGATATTGAATTGATTAACTATGTTATCAATTGAAAAGGAATTACTAAAACAAATCAATTATAAAACAGTAATTAATGACTTCGCATAAAAAATGCTAAAAAAGTAGATTTTAAATAAAAGTATATATAATAATTTTTTTTTTAAAATAATAATATTAGGGCCCCTCTTTAAGGTTTGGCTTTAGGCCCCCAATCTTGTTGAGTCGACCCTGCTTGTGTTAATTATAATGTTTGAATACGACCGCATTATATCATTTTTAACGTGTAATTTTAAGCGCATCATATGTTCTGACAACATTTTGTAGTACTAAATTAAACACTGATGTATTATTTTGATATACTAATATACATTTATTGTAATATATATATTCCAAAAAAATTGTAGTAATGAAATAACAATGAGCGAATCAAACCCATATGATAAACCATATGCATTAAAATTATTTTGAAATTCATATATGATATATGTTCATATTAATAAAATAATTTTGAATGTCTTGAATGGATTTATTTATTCTCCAAGGGACTTTCTTTTCCTTACTGTTTTGTATGTTATTGTTTGATTAGCTTCACTGGATTAGATCATTTATTGGGCGGGCCTAACCCCATTTATTTTCTTGGGAAAAATGATAGGGCAATTTTCGCATATAGCCATTCAAAAATAATTTAATTATGCTTCATAGTTATAATTTACAAATTACAATTCGTAGCTACATGTTAGAGGGAGGAGAGAGGTGAGAAAGATTGGGAGAGGGAGGAGAGAGGCGAGCGAGAGAAGGCATAGAGTGGAGAGAGGCGAATTATATATGTATATCTGTCAAATAATTGTATATATGTAATTGGTATACATATGAATTTGTATATCTGGCGAGCGAGATTGGGAGAAGGAGGAGAGAGGCGAACAAGATTGGGAGAGGGAGGAGAGAGGTTAGAGAGTGGAGAGAGGCGAACTGTATTTGTATATCTGTCAATAATTATATATATGTAACTGATATACATATGTATTTGTATATCTGGCGAGCGAGATTGTGAGAGGGATGAGAGAGGCGAGCGGAGAGGGCAGAGAGTGGAGAGAGGCTAATTGTATTGTATATCTATCATATAAGTGTGTGTGTATATATATATACACACAATTACAACTAAAATTAAGTTGCGAGCAATAATTATTCAAACTATAGCTATGTTAGCTAATTAACTAGTATATATTTGCTTATCAGCGTAATTTTCCCAAAATGATATGGTATGATTAGAAATTTGAATGGCCTTATTTTGGCCTATACTCTTCTAAGGGAAAATTACACGGATAAGCAATAATATATTAGTTAATTAGTTAATATAGCTACAGTTTACATTAATTACCATTCACGGCTTACTTTTAGTTATAATTACGTGGCCCAAGTTTTAATTTGTATAAGCGTGTAGTTTTTTGTTGCAGGATATACACAAAGTTACAAACGTTACTTTCACTCTCTCCATATTTCTTTTACCTTATTTTCTCCTTAAATTACTCAACACAAATTGATTTCAAAATTTGAAAATTTCAAACTTTCCCTCTCAAATCATGCTCCCAGATTTACATATAACGTCTTGCGGTTTCATTTTTTTAATTTGTTTTGCTCTTTCGATAGTTTCAATCTATTGTTTTTTATTTGTATATCCCTCAGATTTCTTTTAGTTTTTTCAGATATCTCCATAGATATATGCAAATCATGGATGAACACACTTCTTTCAAGAGAATCACTCGAGGTATTCAAATGCATGCACAAAAATTGAATGATTTTCCATCTTTTTGTAAGGCAAAAGAAATTGCATCTACAAGCAATTAATCAATATAAGAAGAAGAAGAAGGGTAGGAATCGAGGTATTTTGTGTAAATTAATTCATATATTTTAATGAATTCATTTTTGTTATTTTTGTAAAACGTTATGGATTTTTTAGATTTACAGACATTGTTTTCAGATTTTATACAAGCATATACATCTAATTGTATATATTTTTTTCTATTAGTGGTACATATACAATAGATTCATTTGTATTTATCAACTAATTTTTTTGTATATATGATTTATTGATACATTTGATTTGTATAACTTATAAAAAGTTCCTATCTGTATAACTCTAGCCGTCAATTGTACGTATAATAATAAATCTAGTAGTCACTTCATACATATACAAATTGTAATAAATTATATTTTGGCACATACACAAATTCATTATAAATTTTAGACAACTATCCAAAAATTATACTTATACAAAATTAATGTTCAATGTGTACATTTCCAGTAAACGCAATATCTAACTCACATTAGTCAATATATACAAATATAAATACAAAGCAATTGATAATAAGCAATTGTTAGTATGGAGGGAGTCATATTTGATATGAGTCTCTAACGAGATACAATTCTGTGATTTATGAAATTGTTTTCCTTTTGCCCAATCAAAATTACCGCCTAAATCCATTAAATTTTTTGAAAAATGAATTGAAATATACAAGCGAAAATACCCATAGCACCCTCCCTCCCCCTCTCTCTGTCCTAATTCTTTTTTCATAATCTCCCTCTTTTGTCAGTTCGTATTGCTCCTTCATTTGTATATTCTGTAATTAGTGTATAATATGTGTATATATTATACGTTTAGTATATATCGATTGTATACTTATTATAGTGGGCGTCGTGGATTACAATGGATACTGGTATATTATATATAATGTGTATATATCCAATACTCGTATACACTATGTATATACAGACTTCAGTGCATTATGCCTCCATTCTCACTCTTTCTTTTCATTTTTCTCACTATGTATATACTGTGCATAGTGAATTACAATTAGACAATAGCAAGATAAGATGACAAGAATTTGATTTTATTAAGAAATAGAAACGAGAGAAATAAACTTTAGAAGAAAAGAAGGAATAATCTAACCATTAAAATACATTAATCATTCGATTCAATTTAATGGGAAAGTGAAATGAACTAAATAAGTGAAAATCCTTACTTGACAATTTGTTCAAAGGTAAGTATTTCTGCTCAATTTTACTTGTTCAATATTTTAAGAATATATTTTTATCATCATGAAAAGATCATTATCTTTTTTCATGTTTTATCTTTAACATAATACCATTAGTTACTTATTTTTCAAAATCTACATCTATACGTCAATTAATATGAATATTATGATAAAATATTTATATCAGAAAAAGAACAAATATACCCCCAAACACTACATAAAAAATGAGCCTTAGCGGCAATTAACACTCTTTGTATATGTCCCTAAATGCTTTAGCGACATTGGATCTAATGACACTTAACTAATGCCGGTAAAGACTTTAGCACTCTTTATTAATGTGTCTATTTATTTATTGCCGCTAAAAATTGTTTTTGTTGTAGCGAAACTATCGTAAATGGTATCTAAATATCCTTCGTTATACTTTTAAAACACTGATGCCCTTACCGTTTAACTTTTGGAGTGTATGCACCCTTTGAATTAGCGAAGGGATACATATCTCGATCTTAAAATTCCTATTCGAAATGTATTTGATTTTTACCCATAACTAAAATATCATATACTGACATTTGTTAACGTGAAAATTAAACAACTCTGAGCCAGCAAAGTTGGTGGAGATAGAAAGAGATTGACCGTTTATATATTATAGTAGAAAAATATACCAAACATGAATAAAAAATTAGTACCATATCTTATAATATCTTATAACGTGTACTCCAACTAAACCACTACCACAAAAACATCACAAATTAATCCATTCTTATATCATTAAACATTTTCATGTTCTGATTAGTTAGGTAGTTCAAAATATGAGCAAATTAGAGCTGGTATTTGTGCCTGTCCCATCAATTGGTCACCTTGTTTCGATATGCAAGTTTGCAGAGAAGTTGGTCAGTAGAGATGAAAGGCTATATGTAACAATTCTCATTATAAGACCACCATGGGATGCTAGCATAGATGCCTACATCAAGCGAAGTTCCGCCTCTGCTTCTGGCGGAACTTCTCTTGATGTATGGGGCAGTCGAATTAGATATATTACACTTGCTCAAATCGAACCGCCGTCTTCAGAAGAAGGAGCGAAGTCTATTGAAAACTACATCTCTCTTTTGATAGCAAGTTATCGACCCATTGTTAAAGATGCAATTATCAGCAACAAGTCATGGCCTGATACTGATTCGAACCCGAAAATTATTGGACTAGTCATTGATATGTTTTGCACTTCAATGATTGATGTAGCAAATGAACTTGACATTCCTTCCTATCTTTTCTTGACTTCTGGTGCTGGTTTTCTTGGTTTCCTGCTTTACCTGTCCGTTTGGCATGACCAATTTGGGAGAGAATTTAATCGATCTGATGGCGATTTAATTATAGCAGCCAATGCTCATCCAGTACCCTCAAAAGTCTTACCTACTTTTGCCTTTGTCAAGGAAGGTTACAACTCATTCCGCAACCATGGTGTCAGGTTTAAAGAAACCAAAGGAATTCTCATCAATACAGTGGAGGAATTCGAAAGTCACGCTGTCAATAGCTTAGCATCTGATCCTGAATTACCTCCAGTTTACACAGTAGGATTTCTTCTTGACATTGAGGCACAAAATGCTAAAGGGAATTCCAAGTCTGAAGATGAAGAAATCATGAAATGGCTAGACCAGCAACCACCTTCCTCTGTTCTTTTTCTGTGCTTTGGAAGTGCGGGTATTTTTGAGCCACCACAGCTTATCGAGATGGCAATTGCACTTGAACGAAGTGGGGTTAGGTTCTTGTGGTCAATACGTCTGCCTTTGGATGCTGAAACAACAAAATTAGAGGAGACATTGCCGGAAGGGTTCTTGGAGAGGACAAAAAACAGAGGAATAGTATGTCGATGGGCACCCCAAGTCAATATTTTGGCTCACAAAGCCACTGGAGCATTCGTATCTCATTGTGGATGGAATTCGACCATAGAGAGTCTATGGCATGGAGTACCAATTGTGACATGGCCCCTTTATGCAGAACAACACATTAACGCGTTTCAATTGGTGAAAGATCTCGAGATGGCAGTGGAACTGACATTGGATTACAGGATGCACGATAGTGATCATCGCGAAATTGTGAAGGCGGAGGAGATGGAGAAAGTTATAAGAAGCATAATGGATAGCGAAAATCTCCTGAGGAAGAGAGTCAAAGACATGGGAGAGATCTGCAGGAAGGCGTTGACGGAGGGTGGATCTTCTTTCATATCTCTAGGACGGTTCGCTGAAACTATTCTTGATTCCTGTAATTGAGATGAGAAATTTCTTACATTATGTACTCTTTATGGTAGCAGAGTTTCGTTTCATTTCAGTATGTGACTGAATCAAATAAGAGTTGTTTCTAAGGTGTGAGTGTATTTGTTGGTGTGTGTGTGTATAATATAATATATATACCATAAATTAAAGTAAATTATAGTTGAAAAAATATTGTATTTTGAGTTTTGATGATTTAACAAACTATAGTGCAGAGGGACCTGGTCCGTAGAGTTTCCGACCGACAGAACAAGTCAACTGTATGCAGCTGTAAAGTTGCAGTTTCTGTAGTGGTTGGTGGGCACTGCAACGTAGGCGTTGAAATGACAGTCGTCCTCGATCAATGGAATGCATCTAGGTTTTGTCTCTCTTATAAAATAACATGTTCACAAGATAAAAACCTAGTTTCGGCAATCAAGATTATTAACAAAGCAAGTCATTTCAAAGAAGAACTTTGCTTATACTGAACTAGGGACCTAATCGAGTGTTGCAGTGTCTTTAGTTGTATTTTAAGTTTAGTGTCTTGTGCTCTTATGTGTAGATCTACTCCTATGTTACAAAGGGACGTGCATCATTTATTCTCTCGTTGTTGAGATTTGAGTGTGTGGCTAGAGTTAACCGTGGTGTCTTATTGAAGTCTATATCAACTAGATTTAGTTGCTATAGTGGGGAATAGAGTTGTCATTTTGTGTCTTGTAATAGAGGTATTACAAGGTGTGTAGAATTAAGAGTTTAATCTATTGTAAGTACTCGAGTTTGTATTTATGTTTTGCTTGGAGATAGTGGAGCCTTGAAAAATCCTATGAGACAAGTCATATTTATTTTCGAGCAAGGGGGTTTCCATGTAAACATATTGTGTTCTTTACCTTCCGTTCTTATCTTAAATATCTCCGTTAGCTAATTTTATTGAAGGCCCTGATCTCTTGACTCGTGGGGGACTCATACAAGCCAATAATAATTGATATAAGAGGGAGTACTCTCATAAAATTAATACCTAGAGAGGATCATGTTTATATGACTGCTCCACCGAATTTAGAAGAAGGTCAGTCAACCACCCGACCCCCTAGCTTCAATAGAAAATACTATGGGTGATGAAAGACTCGTATGCATGACTTCATAATGACGAAAGGATAGTCTGTGGGACATCATATTGGAAGGACCCTCACGTGACCATGAAGGAAGTCAAGAAATTAGAGATTACTAGATTGGTTCCAAAGACACGAAGGAAGTACTATGAAGTCGATCGCAAGAAGATTGAAAAAATCTACAAAGCAAAAAATCTGTTTGTCTACGAAATAGGACCCAATGAGTATAACCGAATCTCAGTGTGTGAATGTGCTAAAGAGATTTGGGTAACTTTGACGATGGATCACGAAGTAACGAGTCAACTCAAAGAATCCAAAGTGGACATGCTCTCAGCTCAGTACGAAAACTTCATAATGAAGGAAGGTGAAACCATTCAAGAAATGTCGTATGCTTGTTATAATCCCATATGTTTCATGTCTTCTTCAAATCTCGAAGTTTACATCTTACCTTGTACAAGACATTATTTGGAAAGAACTTCTGCTTAAAGTGGACCCACGTGCTAATTGTGCACAAACCTCTCTCAGCATCAACCGATTTTCATCTCCACCATGGCATGCCAGTCTTTGAAAAGAACAATATTATGGTGTTGATCTTGGCATCGTCGACCCTTACATTTTCATATTGGAAATAATTCTCCTAGTGCCAAAGAAAGTTCTTTACTTCTTGTGCATCACGAACCCCTTTGAACATTGGTGATTTGGGAACCTCGATTTTAGCCTTCCTCATCACGACGACCTTTCTAGCGATCTCCATCAAGCCAGCATCAACCTGTCCTTTGAGTGCCTCTATCTTTGCCTTCATGGCATCGATAGTGCTCAACGCCTCCATGAGTCAACACTTTTATGTAGTGATGGTCTACCTCGTCTCTATCTCAGACTGCTACGCCCATCCAAATCATTTTGTATGTTTTCGATTTCTTTAAGAGTATGTCCCTCAAGAATGCTTAAAGTGCCTTCTACCTTTCCCGAGCGTTGGTCAAATATCTTGATTGCGTCCATCCGTGCATTAATCTTCGTAACCCACTTTCTACCAATCAAGACGTCCTCAACAAAATATCCTCAGGCATGACCTCTACATTATCATCACTTGCTTCAGTGGTAGAAAGTTCTTGGGATATAAGCCATTCATTTGACTCAACCTCGGGCGGCACATCCTGGTTCTTATTGGCGACATTCCCCTTTTTGTTATAACTCTTGTTTCTAGCGGCATCCTAGGTTTAGGTTTTAGTAGTGTTGATTTCTCTATTGTTTGTCATTCTCTTGTTGCAACCTTGCTCTAATACTACGTTTCACGTCCTTAGTGTTTTACTAAGCACACATGCGGTACTTGACAACTTGCTCACGATCTTGCTCTGCATAGTCAGCCTAAGTCACTAGAAATCGCTAAGAGAATGATAGAGAGAACACAAGAGAACTGCTAGGAAGATTCGTGTTGTAGAGAACTTTTGATTGATTTTTCATGATGATTTTACAAATGGATGCCCCTTTATTTATACTACCCACTTAGGAGCTGATATGTAATATATATTATGTAAATAATAATTCTTAAACAAGTTTTTTACATATTTACAAATAAGTCACATTTCTGGAATACTCTACGCAACTATAATATTTCAAGGACCTTCCATGTAAATCAATGAAATTCTAAGGTCTTCCAAGGAAATTATCCACATATCTCTAGAACCTTCCACTACAAACTAGCATTTTTCCTATGTAAACCATCTACATAGACAACTTTATGCCGTGTGAAGCCTATGTTGCGCGATAATGTGATGGGTCATTATAGATGCCTCTAAAAACTTTACAGTCTATCAAGTGTGAATACCTGTTCAAGAAAGGAGGTGGTTGTTCCGGTTGGAAAAAGTATCTCCAAAATTTTAATTAAATAATTTCACACAAATTAATTTCAGTTAAAAGAAAATGAATAAGTGACAAATGAAAAAAAATAATTATCTATAAAATTTATCAATCAAGTCATTTGCTAAAGTCGAGTTGAGCCGAGCAAGCAATGATGCGGCACTGGGGGAGATTCTCTTCTCAACTCGTGAAGAGCTAGACGAAGTGCTTCTATATATTAGCACAAAAGTTCTCATTTTCATTTGTTTGCACATGAGATAGGCCATCAAGAATATGGTGCAAACAAATAACAGAATGTGGAGTGTTGAATCCAACCTAATGTTTCATGATGGTAAAACTGTGAGTTGTGGATATTTCTATTAAATGCTTCCAAGCCTCTCCATCTGATGGATGACACATAACTTAGGTGGTCTTCTATTTTCATGGTGTCATCTCAAATAAGTAGCAGAGCTATTTGATCTGTATAACCTATTTAACCTTGTTATAAGATTAAAGATATAAGTATTGCATCACCCCAACAATAACTTTGTTTCTGCTAGAAGCCTGCTTAAAACGAAAGCTCTTACACAAAACTTACTAAATTTTAGATCAACATAAGGAATCCAAATAGTATAACATGCAGTCATTTCCAAAACTATCAATTCTCATCGACGATAGTCCTAACTTTAATACCAACTTCTTTGCTTTATAAAAATTATCAGGTATCTCTATATTTGGATCAACTAATTCATGCATAAGGTCAATCATAAAGTCCACTGCTCCTTGAGGAGTATTCCAATCCAATTTGATACTTAATAATCTAATAACAATATAAAAGCAGAAGTACAGACTCCCTTCATATAAAGACGGACTAGCATCTTCTAATTGTTCAAAGAAAATTCAAGATTCATCAGCAGGAGCTTCTTCAACATGATCACCTAATTCAAAATCGGAATGCATCTCATAAGCATCATGAACTAGGTAATCCCATACCTTAATAATACCGTTTATTTGATCCAGTAGCATACTGATGTGAAACAAGACTCTGCTACCACAAAGAGTAGTGAATGTAAAAATTCTAGGAATCAAGAATAGTTTCAATGAATCGTCCTAGAGAAATGAAAGAAGATCCACCTTCCATCAATGCATTCCTGCAAATCTCTCCCATGTCCTTGACTCTCTTCCTCAGGGGGTTTTCCCTGTCCATTATGTGTCTTATTGCTTTCTCCATCTCCTCTGCCTTCACAATTTCTCTATGATCACTATCGTGCATCCTGTAATTCAATGTCAGCTCCACTGCCACCTCAAGATCTCTCACCAATTGAAACGCGTTAATGTGTTGTTCTGCATAAAGGGGCCATGTCACAATTGGTACTCCATGCCATACACTCTCTATGGTCGAATTCCATCCACAATGAGATACAAATGCTCCAGTGGCTTTGTGAGCCAAGATTTCGACTTGGGGTGCCCATCCACATACTATTCCTCTGTTTTTTGTCCTCTCCAAGAACCCTTCCGGCAACATCTCCTCTAATTTTGTAGTTTCAGCATCCACAAGCGGACGTATTGACCACAAAAAACTAACCCCACTTCGTTCAAGTCCAATCGCAATCTGGATAAGCTGTGGTGGCTCAAAAATACCCGCGCTTCCAAAGCACAGAAAAAGAACAGAGGAAGGTGGCTGCTGGTCTAGCCATTTCATGATTTCTTCATCTTCAGACTTTGAATTCCCCTTACCATTTTGTGCCTCAATGTTAAAAAGAAATCCTACTGTGTAAACTGGAGGTAATTCAGGATCAGATGCTAAGCTATTGACAGCGTGACTTTCGAATTCTTCAACAGTGTTGATGAGAATTCCTTTGGTTTCTTTAAACCTGACACCATGGTTGTGGAATGAGTCGTAACCTTCCTTGACAAATGAAAAAGTAGGCAAGAATTTTGAGGGTACTGGATGAGCATAGGCTGCTATATTTAAATCGCCATCAGATGGGTTAAATTCTCTCCCAAATTGTTCATCCCAAACAGACAAGTAAAACAAGAAACCAAGAAAAGCAGCACCAGAAGTGAAGAAAAGATATGAAGGAATGTCAAGTTCATTTGCTACATCAATCATTGAAGTGCAAAACATATCAATGACTAGTCCAATAATTTTCGGGTTCGAATCAGTATCAGGCCATGACTTGTTGCTGATAATTGCATCTTTAACAATGGGTCGATAGTTTGCTAT